AAATTGAAATGTTTTTGGCTAAAAAAGAATTAGTGTTGGGCCAGACAATCCCAACCTAACATCACACCATGAGCCCAAGCCCAAGCCCAGTTAGCTTGATAGAAGGCGGTGGCATGTGCTCTAGCTCATAACCTCACCCTTCTACAAAATTTGGGTGCCCCTTGGGGCCCTCCCCAAGTTGTAAACCCAAGATTTATAAACCCACATCAAGTTTGCCCACCAAAGCAATGTGGGACAAACCTTAAGTCCAACCTTTATGAAAATTTCACAAAAAATACTATTTTTATGGAGCTTATTTTGGCATTGATTTCTCATTCACCTGATAATGGTTTTGAGCAATCAAATATACAACTTGAATCGTTACGTGGCAAAGAACACATTGTCACCCGCTAACTTTAACATATGAATCCCACTTAAAAATTAAACCAAAGTTTAAGAAAAATATGTTTTTGCCAAACCATTTCTCAAACCATTTCTTACATCATCATTCATTACTCTTCACCCTTCATCAACACAACCACCATTCACGATTCCCTACCAGAAGGGAAGACCCACATGGCAAAATCAGAGCCATACCAAAATCAAGAGTACTCGAAAATACAAAAAATCAAACGGAGTTGAAAGAGTGAAATGAAGTGACTGAGAAGGCCAGCTACAAGAACATATGGGATTGAATAGTTTTGGCTTGGTTGACGTGTGATAGAAACAACCAAAAGATTTTTGGTTTCTTTCCCCATGTGTAACACCACCACAGGCCAATAGTAAGGGAAATTGTTGGCAGCCATACACTACAACGTATAAGAGTTTTAGAGATCCAATTTTTTGACTTCTAAAAGTGAAAATTTTGTTACAAAAGACATTTAGGTACTAATTTCTATCGTTGTGAGAATAGTCGCTAAAAGGTAATCCCAAAAAGTCAAAAATAAGGCTATAAAATTTTGAAAATGTCACTAATAAATACACTTTTAGGGAAAAAATAATTTATTCTCAAAATGATTTATTTTTTGAGACAATTTGGTCTCAAAAAGATAATAATTTATAACTGATGTCCAATTTTCGTTGCTAAAAACATAATGACAACATTTTTCGTAATAAAAATATTTGGCCCCTAAAAAATAATTTTGTTCCTAAATTTTGGCCTCTAAAACTTTAATTTTTTATAGTGATGGGTGAGGCTAGTGGCTTCCAACTGAGGAAAATAGAGAGAGAGTATAGATATATAGAGGGAAAAACAATGAGAAAGGTGGAAACATATGTGGTGGAGTGGTTATTAGGTGCTCTTGGAGTACGATTATGTGGTGTTATAAGGTGTTGTTGTGATTGGTGGAGAAGGTATGATCTATGAGTACAAAGTACCCCTACTACTGCTACTCACACCCAAACAACCAACCCCTCAGCCTCACAAATTTTTAAAAGATAAAATAAAAAACAAAGGTTAAGAAGAACTTAACTCAACAAAAACCATGACACCCCACAAACTACCCCCACAAAATCTAATTAATACACACCACATATGTAAAACACCCACTAACAGAACACCCAATGGAAGACCACCCACTACCAGAACATCCAATTAACCCATTTAATACTACTATCCAAACAGAATACCCCCTAACAAGCTTCGAACACCCATAGCAACCTAATACACCCCAGGACAAACAACCAACCAAAACACCCATTGTACAAATCTTCTACTCCGGTCCAAACTCCACTCACCCACTGCAGAAGCTCCATGTTAACAACCCGAACACCGAGAAATGTTCCTCCTGGTGCAGCCCAGCACACTGCTCTTACAGCTAAGTGGTTCCATCCTTTAAATACCTCTCTTTGTCCTTAAGCTCCAGCTCAAGAATCTTCTCAACCACACCCTCTTCTTGCCCACATAAATTAATTCCCAGCTCTTTTCCTAATTTGACAGTGGCCTGCGCTTCCTTGAGAAGATAGCTACGTGTGCTTGAATCACTCTCGGACAGCTCTGAGTCTGCAAGGGCCACTGCTGCTGGCCTGAAGATCACGGACTTGGAGGGAAGCCTACCGACAGCTGCAGATTGGCGACCATAAAGTCGAGCAAACCGAGAAAATCCTTCCATCTGAACCTTCTTTTTCCCAGCTTTCTTGGCAGGCCAATTTGGGTTGAGGAAGGGAGCAGGACAATGACCAGGGCCTTGCTCATGTAGACTCATAGTACCTGACCCATGTGAACCAACAGTTAAGGAAGGCCCAGGTATTAGAGAATTAACACAAGCCCTGATACCTTGTTGTTCAACTGGTTTACGAATAGGGCCTTGAACTATTTGTTCATTATTCGTAGAGCCCAAGACAACCTCCAAGTTTATTCCAGGCCCAAACCCATCTACCGACCTGCTGCGATTTTCAAACACGCCAGTTGCAGAAGCGTGCTCAACACATCTCAGTGAAGGGTCATCACTCTTTGGGCAGGGTGCACACTCCTCCATCATAGCTTCTTTCCCACCTAGTGCAGTAGGTCTGCTGACCTCTACATCACATCGTGTCTCTTCAACAGCTGTATCCACCGCCTCTCTACTGTTACATTGAGAGAGCTCCTTCCTTTGAGCCGCTACAATGGAGGACGGCATCACAGCATCATCCAAGACAAACTGTTCTGCCACTAAATCAACCTCATCCTTCCTCTTGCAGCCCCCATCTGTGCAGTCATTATCCTCAACTCTGCTGAGTTCCACTTTGGAGCTGCTATTGCAATCACCCAGCCCAATTTTTCTCACCCCATTACATTCCGCTGGATCGACGCAGTGGTCTTCACAGACAAAAACTGGGTGGAATTTACCCTTGCATTCCAGATGAATAGTTTTGTTAATCAACTCCATGCATGTTGTAACCACTTTAATTCTGGAGTATGTAAATGAATTTGGTTGGCTAAGATCATCCTCCAGTTGAAGGACTGTTCCCCACAAAGCTCCAATGTTATTTAGATTGCTCCTATTCCAGAGATTCAGAAGAAGACCATGACATTTCAACCAAACACATCTCTCTTGGACTAGATGGATTCCTGGCCTCCATTCCAAAACAAACTGACTCCAGTCTTTAAACCAGTCCTTAATCTTCTGGATGTTTGATTTGAGTTCCTCCCGGGATTTGAAAGTCAAGATTGCATCCCTGCCACCCCCCTGTCTGGCCACCACTTGATCTAACCCAATATCCTTCAAAGCAGATCTGATACTATTAATGGAGTAGTCCGAGTTGAGCCTGATAATTACGCTTTCATAAAGCCAACCGTGACCATCCTCATTGGCCTTGACGGTCATGCTAGCTTTTACATCCACCTTGGTCGAGTCCCCTTGTAGTACCTCGGCAAATGACTTGTGGCCAATAAATGAGATTGTATCTTTACCTCTAATTGGGTTAAAATCTTCTCTGTTGACCTGGGGCCTTCTCCTGCTAAGCACACTCCTATCATGAGTTGCATACTTGACTGCAAGCACCTTATCATCCACCAAAAGACCATTAGTTTTCTGGACTGCCATGTCTGATGCAACATGACAGTCGAATCTCACAAAACCGAATCTTGAATTCGTCGCTATTCTTCTTTTGAAAGGGATGAAGACATCTTTTACTACACCAAACTTATTGAAAAGTTTGAACAATGACTTTGCATCCAAAGACCTTGGGATATTATCCACGAACACAGTAAACAAACCACTCCTTTCTACATAGCCCCGAGATCCACCTCCTTGCCTTTGATTCACAACCGGGATCCAACCACCATTTCTTCCTTGCTCCATAAGGACTACATCACTCTATATATGGGCTTCCTATGATATACTTGTAATTATAAAGCTTTGGAGTACGATTATGTGGTGTTATAAGGTGTTGTGATTGGTGAAGAAGGTATGATTTATGATTTTGTATCAAATGATTGAGAAATATGAGGGAATATGATGCATGATAATTACTGAATGAGTATGAACACGTGATGCTCCAAGAGTACTGGATAGTTTTTTATACAGAGAGATAGTAAATTAGGAAAGTATGATAATCTCAAGGTTAAAATTGACATTTTAATTTTTTTTACGATAATTTTTTTTAAAAAAAATTCCAGATATTAAGATTTTACACGATAAAAGATATAAAATATTTTCATAGTAGTTGGAGTCCCTCAACATTTTCACAGAGAAAATTCGACTCAGAGAAATTTATACCCGACTCAGAGAAATTTCGGTCTAACTTAGAAAAATTTCAGTCTCAACACAAAGAAAATTCATCGAGAGACTTTAGTTAATAAAAAAAAATATATCTTGGACTCGTCCTACCAAACAAAGTTGGAGAGAGATGTTTTATTATTTATTATTTTTTTTGCTACAGTATCAAAAATTGTAAAGTCAACTAAAGTTAGATTAACAAAAAGAGCCACCTATGCTGCGAAGGAAATGTAGTTTCAAGAAAGTCATGAGTATTAATATAATGTGGACGAATCTCAACGAATGTTAATGTATTTTATCCTTAGAACAAGTTCTTAATTAAAAAAAATCTCTTTATTGCATCACTTTAATATTTAAAAAAAATAAAATTTTGCGTATCAAATAATACAACCTATTCATATTCATTAATTAAAAATTAAAAAACTTCAGTTCATAATTTGAAAATTGTGACTTATACAATATAATCTCAGTCCATAAGTCCACGTTCTATCTAGTAGAGAAAAGATTACCGAGTCCTTTGCCAACAAATAAAAAAATTCGGACACCGGTTATGAACAGCCCAGAATTTGAACCAGCAAATTAATGAATGGTAGAGATTTAACTTTTGAATGATTTAAACTTTTATTTACAATTCACATTGAATTTTCTGGACTTATGTGTGATTTTTTTTTTTTTTTTGCATTCGTAGCATCTCAAAAATTTCAGAAACATTCACCCAATTTTAGTTAACCATAATAACCACATTGACACAGCCAAAAAAAAAAAAAAACTATACAAATCAGACTTTAGGATAAAGCAGTAAGATTCAGTAATACATCAAACTAAAAAATTTGTAGCCACCAGGAAGATCTCTTATATAATCCAATATTTTTTTTTCTTTTTTTGGAAATAACAGATATTTATAAAGAAAGAAAACAAATACATCGTACAAAGATGTAATGCAGACTAGACACAACCAGGATGGAGACCATCTAAAAGGTGAGAGCCATGCAAGAGCTAAAAGTCATATGGAACTAACAAAAAGAAACAAAGCTAACACTAAATTTTCGGTATACAAAGCCAAAGTCTAATATTGGCCAATAATTTTTACCTAGATATTATTATACACTCTCATTGGCACTTGATCATGTTGTTCAACTTTTCCAATTTTCGACGACGATGACGAATTGATTGTCATCGTTGTTGTTGCCGGAGTGTGGCCGACGAACAAAGCAACATGACCCATAAGCTTATCTTTCCTAGAAAAAGTGGTACCACACGAGCACTTCCATTTGAGATCCCCACAGTGCTTCTCGTGAGTCCTCAGATCAGACAGCACCGAGAACTGCTTCGTGTTACACCTCTTGCACACGTACATCTTCGGACAATGGCTCCTCTTGTAGTGATTCTTCACGCAGATCATCGATTTCAACGGCTGAAACTTCGCGTGCTTTTTGTTCCACCTACACCCTTCTTGCGGACACGAGTACTTCATCGCTATTTTTATATTTTCTTTGTTTGTATTTGTACTTTCAGCCCTATTCTTCATTGGATTGCTCAGAGCCGCGCTGGATTTATACTCGTCTCCGTGAGCCCTCATGTGCATCCTCAAATTCGCATCGCGCTTAAACCCTTTTCCACAAACTTGGCAATAATGAGTGTACTTTGCCAATAAGTCCGCGACATTCAATTCGATAATATCTTGTGAAATTTCACTGTTTCCGTGTCTTTCAGGAAATTCATCCCTCCTTCCCGCTTCATTATTATTGTCTCTAACAGCGATGGGATTATTGTAGTTTTCGCCATACCAGTCCAGAGTTTCGCCTGATGAATATAAGCCTTGCCCTCTTTCATGGAGCTTATTATCGCGGTGGTTTCGTAATTCACCGGTGTTATTGTTCACCTCTGGTATTGAATTTGAACCGAGAACCATCTGTTGGCAAGTGAACATCATCGAAGAGGCGGTGACGATGATTTCTTGAATCAAAGTGCCCACGCTGGCTATAGCCATGGCTGTTGACTCGGCCTGTTGGTTCTGATCGGCGGAGACGAAGATGGAGACTAGTGATTGCACTTGATTGACCTTTTCTTTGAGGGCTGAGAGGCTGTAGAGGAGAGAATTTGAGTGAGCATCGACACCGGAGGTCGCTTCTAGGGAAGAAGAAACCATGTTTTCGGTGACACCAGCGTACATGATCTGTTGAAACCCTTGTGAGGTGTTGGGGAAACAAGAAGTGTTCATCTTGGACAGCTTTTTTCTCTCTTTTTCGAAGTGTTAAAGTGGCTATCTCTCTTTTTGTTTAGATTCGATTGAATCTCTTTTTGAGAAAAAGTTGGGATTGAAACGAGTGATCATATGAGGAAGCACACAAGAAATCTTGTCCTTTTTGGCAAGGCATAGCAACGTATGTGAAACATATAATAAAGATTTTTAGGTCAACTTTGAGGTTGAACTCATCCCCACTTGGGACCTTACCCATATGATTCTCACCAAGCTCACATTCAGACAAATTTTTAATAAAGAATGGGTTTTTAGAGGCTGGGATGGATTAAAATAATAATGCAAAACCATTTACTTTTTTGAATTTACTATTAGTTTTCTTACAAGAAATGTTGTGTATATATATATATATATATAATTTAAGCGAAATGATGTGGTTAATCTCCTATCCATTGAAAAAAATATATTTATACATATAAAAGAAAAAATCAAAGCATTTCACTTCTAAATAAAATATCAATTAGAATTGATTTGAATATGTGATTGTTGTTATTCAATTAATTTAATTGTTTGCAGGAATGATATACTCGATAAATCTTAAAATCTGAATAGTGATTATCGAAACGAGACTTAAAAGTGGACCCAATGGACTGGACAATACCTCTCTAGTCTAATTTGAGATTGGAGAGAAGTTAGTTCCTGAAATAATTATACATGTAATGTATAAAGAATGGATATTTCTATTCTATTCCAAAAATTAGATTTATTTTTAAAAATTTAATGATATAACAATTAACCAAAATATTTAAGACAACTTTCTCTCTTGTATATTTTTTAATCAGTAGTCAATTATCTTTTCTCAAACATCATTTAGATTTAGAAGCTGGTCTAGACTATAAAAAAAATATGACATAATTTTGAATTTTATCTTTAATGAGTCGATCAATTCCCTTAAGGCGTCAATTTTCAGGGGAGTTGAAAATTTCACATGGCTCATCCTTTCCCTCATAAAGATAACAACGAACCTTTCATTGTGATACTGAGAGTTGACATATATATATATATATATATATATATAGTAGTGTGTATAATTTAAATAAGTATAACTAAAATAAAATATTTTTTTTCTGTAAAATAAAATAAACATATTTGATATATATTATATTTTACTCAAGTAGTAAGATTCTTCTCTTTTATACCTAAGATCCAAGATTGAAGCCCCTCTTCTCCCATCTATCTAATTTTTTTATTTTATTTTTATTTTTTATATTTTAAATAGAAAAATGAGACACAAAACATAAGGAAAAACAAATAAAGTTTTATAAACCAAGTCCAGCCTTCATTTTTTGTAATAACTAAATTCAAAAAAGCACACTCTATTTGGTTTTGAGTTTTCAAAAATAATTTTATGAATTTTCAATTCGTATTTTTATATTGTTAATGAGTTTTTTAAATATTTTAATCAGGTTTTTTTTTTTTTTCAAATCCACTTCATCTTTTAAAAATTTAAAAAGTATACAAATTGTACAAAAATCTTTAAAAATTTTATTAAATACAACAAAATACAAAAATATATTGATTTTTCATATTGTTTTGTATTTGGTGAATTTTGTAAAGTTTTTCTTCACAAATATTATATTTTTTAAACATATTTAAATTACATGTATCTGCAAAAATAAAAAATTCGCGTAAAATATTTTAAAATTTTGCTAAAAAAAAAGCAAAAAAAAATTTAATTATTTGAAAAGTGAACAAATTTTTTTGAACCAAACATGGTGACTGATTTTTTTTATTTATTTAAAAAAGTGACTATATAAGTTATTTATTCTTAACATCACAAACTCATTAATAAAACACAGATAGAAAACACTTAAAACTTTGATATAAATGAAGTACAACATTAATTCTTGAAAAATCAGTACTTTCTTTAAAAATTACAAATCCAAAATTCTTAAAACACTCATTGTCAAATAGATCTGATATACAAAAAGAAGAATAAATAGTGTACAGGAAAGAAATAAACCTTCTCGTATAATCCTGTTGATCAAGTCTGCACTCCTCCGAACGTCGTCGCTTTATTCCTTGAAAACACAAACGTGAGCTAGCCGCCGGGTGTGTGCCGGATACCTCTCCGATGCCTAAGTCGGCAAAATAGACAAAGACAAAAAGCTCTGTGTATCAAAGTCGTGTGTTACCTCTCCATAGGTGATGTTGTAAGCTTTTATAGGTTCTGCGTGGCACAATTCTAGTAGGACTTTTACTTCTCCATGTAGAGTCCTCCTAAGATTCATACTCCTGAAAGATAATGCCTATCCTTCAACTCCCCCCTTACTGCATAAACCAAGTGAAATGGTTCTACCATGGTCAGACTTTAACATAACCGAGGTAAGCATGGTTATGCTAAGCCGCAGACTGGACCGAGATAACATTAGCTCGGCTCTTCCATTTACTGCCCTTACCTCGGCTATTCTTAATGCTAACCACGGTATGTTTAGACCGGAATAACCAATACTCTGGTACAAATCGGGATAACTTTGTGAGTGACGACCAAACTTACCATAAGCTCTTTGGGACCGGAGTAACTTCAGGTCTCTCGCGGACCGGAGTAACTTTACACCTCTCTTGGGCCGGAGTAACTTTTACACCTCTTTTGAGCCGGAGTAACTTTTACACCTTTCTTGAGCCAAAGTGACTTCATGGCCATTTTACTCAGCCCTTTGCAATGTGGCCCATAACGGCCCATTACCCAGCTCGGCCCAATTTATAAGTATAAATTACCCTCTCAATTGCCCATTAATTCCATCTGCGTAGCATGATAGGGATTACTTGTTACCAGCCGAGCTAAAGCCATTTAGCCTTTCCAGCCGGGTAAAAACCCTTTTTGCCTTTTCAGCCGAGCTAAATTCACACTAGGCTGTACCTGTCCGGTCAAAACGTCTCTCCAATCATAGCAACTGAATCGCTTCTCATTCCTATGACACGTGGCCCCCTCTGATTGGCCCAATGCAGTTGTCACGCCGTCTTCGTACTCCGTGAATTTTGAACAGTTCCCACCTCTGGTCTTTCCATCAAAACAAAACTTTTCATTTTGAATCTTCACCACACTATTCATCTTCTCTCCTCTTGTTCTCTC